GTCAATATAATAAAAAATAATAAAAGTATAATGTTATGAGAATTAAGCTGTTTCATCTAAGCATTTATGTGTTCATGTTATAATTTGTGTTCATTCTAGAATGAAAGAGGCATAATTTATATTTATTTCCTAATTTTTTATGTTGGTTGCGAGATTGGTCAAATTTACTGAACCCGTACAGAGATTAATTACTGAAAATAACAGATAAAATGTTAAGTTTTTTCTTAAGAAATTTCAAAATTTTCTGATGAATAAAAGTATTTTTAATCTTAAAATGAAAATTATTTTGCATGATAGATAGGCAACATGCGAAAAGGAAAAATAGACATGAGAAAAGCATTGCTTTATAAGCCTTAAGACTTAAAAAAATTTTATATTTTGCATATGAAAGCATTGTAATGTTTACTGATAATCTGCCAAATTTTGTTAACATTTGCTTACTAATTTAAAAGCTATAGCATGAAAACTATAACAAACACAAAATGGTTACACAGTTCGACCCAGGGACTGAGCCCATGCTAAAAGAGTTAAGACATGAAAAATAAAATTCACATAAAAACTATTTGACAGACAGAAAAAGTGAAATGGAAACCTTGCTGTTCAGGTCTATTTGGGCAATGTGATTTGGAAACCCCTACATGTATAAAGAAAGTATGTTCAGGAAAGTCTGAGACATGAACAATATCTAGCAATGGAAAGTAGTATAAACAGGATAGTTAATATAGTAAACTTGAAATTTGTCAATAAAATACAAAAATTGCTTTCATAAAATACACCAGTTCAATTTATTTATTCATTAGGCTCTAGTTGTTTGTAAGGAAGTAATAACCATACAGTTTTAAACACAAAACGTTTACCTTTTATGCACAAATTTTGAACCCTTATAGGTTGTATCCTAATTTCCCATAAATTGCTTTATATATACAGGGAGGGACAAAAGTTACTATATACAGTTGATACTAAAGAAAATGTTACATACACAATCAAACCAATTTAATTACTGTTTGTTTCAGAGTAATAGTTAGAAACTAAACTGTTATCTAAATGAAACAACAGTAGAGTTACTTTTGCCCCACTCCATATATTAGCTATTTTATCTTTTTTTAATATTATTCAACCTTTGTACCTCCTAGTTATAAGTATTGCAATAAATAGTTCTTGCAATCCTTCCCCAATGTTCTTTGAATTTAAGCTCAATTTTCTTCATTATTGTACCTTTTTTTTTCAACATTCCCAATTAGGTGTTCTTTATTATCATATGACGTATTTGAGGATTTATATTCTTTTCATATGTTATCCTTACCTTTGATCATAATCTATTTCTTGTATGATATCTCTATCCTTTTACAATTACTTTGGTCACCTTTCTTTGCTTTATAAATACATTATGTGATGTATTAAAATTTGGCATCAATATGATCTGTGCTTGAAACTACCCAAACTTATAATTACTGCAGAAAAAGATTCATTTTCTTCCTGGAGCTGCTTAACAAGCTAATTGCTGACAAAACTATTTTCATAGGCTTGAAAATTACTTCACTTTTTCAGTAATAGAAATAACTATCATAAATATTAATTATGAGAACTTATATCAACATTTGTATCACATGTTTAAGCTTTCACTGTTTAAGGATAACCAACCAAAGATTAAGTTGTCATTAGTTATAATTTTTGCTGAATTGGTTTTAATATTTGTCTTAAACCTTTCCAGGCTAATATCTTTTGTTTATGGTGAGGGCAAATGACATCATTAATTTTTAATAATTCAGTCTGATCTGTTCTCCAAAGTCACTTACAAAAGAAAACTATAACTGAAATATGTAGATTTAAAATTTAGTTTTGATGTATATTTTATTAACGTAATTTTTGTTTGGGAAGTACAAATATTCAAACTTGCCATAGATGAAACATAAAAAAAAAATCTACAAACCTATAGTCTTTGTACATGATTGTTTGTTTCTAACTCATACACGTTAATTTTGAACACTGTTTACACACATAAAATATATTTATAGCCCCTTTTGTAGTATTTTATTTGTTTGTTGCATTAAAAAATGGAGTAGATTCACATAAATCAGAACTCATGATTAAAAATTATATTCAACCTACAGCATTTGCTTATGAAAAGTTGTAAACAATTCTCACATTCTAGATCTACATTTAACATATATCAGTGTAAAATGTGTGGAGTTCCATATTCTTTTAAGTAAAAGCAGTTTTTTTTCCTGAATTTTTAAGTGTTTTAGCTACTGTAACAAAAAGCTCAGATAAACATTTTGCCACATCTTAATCAGCAGCTATAATTTGTTTATAACATACAATTGGTTACAAAGTACAGGCATTTAATTTAAATGTAGGTTATGTACTATATATTTTTATCTGGAAAGAAAGCAAAAGCATTGTTGTTTTATATTGTGGGATGTTATTAGTTGAGATTTATATTTTTTTTTATACAGATTGATTATTTTTACAGTTTTTATAGCCTTCTTAATTTTTCCTTTTTTTATAGGTACAGGTGAATCTGGCAAGAGTACTTTTATTAAACAAATGAGGATCATTCATGGACAAGGTTATTCAGATGAGGACAAGAAGAGCTATATTAAACTGGTATATCAGAACATAATAATGGCTATGCAGAGTATGGTCAAAGCCATGGAAATGTTGAAGATATCATATAAAGATCAGAGTAATATTGTAAGTTACAAGCTTTTAAAATTTGAATGTGCATATATATCCTTTGCAGCTTAAAGTAGATTTCAAACTTGAACTGAAAATCATTACTTAATAAAATGATTTAGTACAAATTAGTATTTTTTCCTATAAAAGACAAAGACTATATAAGTTTATATTTAGTTATTGGTGCTTTATAAAGCATAGGTTGAAAGATGGCTGTCCACAGCACAAATGAAATAACTGTACGAATCTGAAGCATGTACTTATATTTGCTCTCATATGTATGATATATTTATAACTTCATTCTTAAGCACATATCTAGTATCTGTCCTGTATTATCAGTGAGAAAGCACCATAGTATATTGTGTAAGTTTTTTTCGTGTGATTCTTATCACAACAAGAAGTGATAATGATAAGATACCATAAAATATACATGAATTTCAGAAGATATGTTGCTCACAAAAATTTACTTTTTGTGTATTTTAGTATCAATTCATATACATGTATAATTGTTGTATATTATGCATAAAGAATAAATTGTGTTTTGAATAGCCTGAATCCTTTCTGTAAATAGTATGTAGAGCATAAAACTTTTGTAAAAAAAATAAGTATTTAGGTTGCAGGTAAAAATATGGAAATAGTACATATTCTATTTTAACACATATATTATTATTAGTTCAGTATTGTAAAGATAGCAGGAGCTAGATCACAATAGTTGCATGTGGTTTTGATTTGAATGGGTTTTCAACCACTTCATTCAGTAAAATTAGTCCCCCCCCCCATGAAAATAAACAACAAATAAACATATTTAGACACAAAAATACTTATTTCCCACACAAGTTATTTAGATGCAGTACATTACCTCTTCTCACATAAATAGCTATTCTCAATCAGTGTTGCCCTCTATGTGCAAAATTTATTTTTCCATATGCCACAGGCTGTCTATCTCCCCTCCATTGGAATTAACTGATTTCAATGCATCTCTCATGCAAATCATCATGTGTCAACCCTCCACCAATAAGAGTATGACATACTCTCATGACGCATGTTGCTCTGTCTCTCTACTCAATCCTACTGAACTGTCATTTCTCATTTGGCACTACTCATTTTTTCTTTTGGTGCTCTTCATGTGAATTGTGATTTTCATAGTTTAGTTGCCAAAGTGGGAATTCTTCATTATTATTATTATTTTTTTTACATTGAAGAAATCTTTTAATTTAACTTATTTCACAGTCTTTATTTTTTTTATCTCACACTCATATTTTACATCACACACTTTTGTTTGACTTGCACATTTCTACAATGAATTCTGAGGTTTGTGTTTCCACTTCGGGTGTTATACCCCTAGCGCTATTTTCACAGGCTGCAGGTGGGGGAGACTTGTTGGATATCTCTGCTATTATTCTTCGTGAGATTGATCATTATATGGGTAAACCACTAGTCCTCCTGAACAAGCTGAACCTGTTTGGGCTGGTGAAGACATGATAGCCTTTTTACATCACCAGATTTTGCCGTGTTTTTCCCTACTCCTCCCGCAGAATCAGCTAGGCCTAATACACCATTTTTCTACATAATTTCTCATTTTTCTATTATCTACCCATCCCTGTTCATTTTCCAGGGGGTTTCTCATCTCGTCACTTTGCTCAATGTTGTTGGGCATGTTGCCAATGGTAACAGAGGGTTCTGGTCCAGTGGGAGCTTGATTGTATTATGTTCTTACCCTTTAGCAATCTTTCACTTCAGTTTCATAGGTTCTTTGGGTTTTATCAGAGGGACTTGTCATCCAATTCATTTCCCCACCTCCTTTATCCGTGGTACCCTTTTTCTTACCCATGGCATTGATGGTTAGATAGACTTGCATGTCAGTGGGTATCTCGCTTCCTCCTCCTCAGCTGGGTTTTCCACATTTCATGGATACATCCCTTC